CCAAATATAACTGCAATAAAACAGAGGAGTTTAAACATTTCCCCCCAGTTTTAAATAACAAAATTTAAAAGTAAAATGACTGAGCAAAATAAAGAATAATCTGCAATGAGTATAATATTGGCACCAATGTGTTCTCCCCTTTTTCATATAGATTTAAATCTCAGATTACCTCATTCAGCTGCTTCAGATGTTAAAAAGCATAGAGGAGGAATAAATCCTTGTGGGGTTTTGTCAACAAATATACGGTAAATGTAAAGTCAGGATTATCAAATGTCTTTTGTAACCAACCTTGCTGAATAAGAATATTATATTACTCATTTCTTTCTTACTCACATTTCCATGGGTGATTGTATTAAAAGCAACAGAGAAATGAAGATGAACAAGGGGAATTTCATTTAGCAAAGCAGGCCACTTATCAGAATGGCCAAGGTTGTCTTCATTAAAATTCTGACCCACCTCCCCATGTCAAATGGTTTCTTTTTCTTAAACTGTCTTAAGCATCTTTTGATTAAATAATTAAATATTTTAAATTAAATATTAAAAAGTTGTATCTCCTTTGACTCAACCTTTATTTCAGGTGATTTTGTGAACATATCCGTGTATTTTCCTTGAGAAGAAACTACATAAATCGTTTTCCTTAGCCTTTTTCTTGTACTCTCTCTGTGTATGTGTTTATGTGTTTCAGTATTTGCTGGAAGTTTCCCCTGCAAGCACTGTCCAGCTTAACCCTTTTTAGCTTTCAAACCCAGATGAGGTTAGCCAACTACTCGCTTATAAATACAGAGAAATGCAAAGTATCTCAGAACAAAAACCATCTCAGAAACAATTTATTTCAACTTACCACATGAAAAATAGCATTGGGTATGAAAGATAAAGCTCATGGATTCCAATACTAGTAATTTCACTATAGTTTTAGATGTTATGGTATAGTTCTCCATATTTAACATGAATTAAGCTGAGAAAATAGTTTCTCTCTACAGTATACAGTATTCTAATTATTAAAGACAAAGGTTTAAAAATGTTTAAAAACGATAAAGCTTCCATATAAACAGGCCAAATATCTTATCACCAAATACAGGCCAAATATCTTATCACCAAATCTAATATACATGACAGGGAAAAGCATAATCTTCTGGTTATGCTGAACTTTGAAGGTTTTATATATTTTACAGATACTGGGTTTCAGTATTTTAGAAATGTTTTACACATTTTCATTATCTCTATCTCTGTCATCTCTACCTCTATCTAATCTGTTTGTCTCTCTCTCCTTCGTTCCTTCCTTTTCTTAATTTATTTCCTTCCTTTTCTTAATTTCCTTCCTTCCTTCCTCCCCTCCTCTCCTGGTGTAAGCAAATAGCATCACCTTCGGTAAATCTATATAAGACTTGCAGGTGAGAGTTGTTTTCTGTCAACAGGATAATCTATTCACTCATATTCCTGTTTCTCCATGAAATAATTTTGTCTCAAAATGATCTGTGCTGATATTTAAGGACATCATTAATTGAAATGCCAATTAAAATTGGAAATCAATAGGTCATTTTTTATGATTAGATCTTAAATACTTCAGAAGTTAAACATATTTTGCTGGTAGAATCTGTATCTCCACCTAATTAATGTTCATGTGGTTTGATGCAATACAATGGTTTACCGTACTTTAAATGCGAAACAAAGTTTCAGATGTGCAGATGTGACTTCTTTTGTTAGCAATAGCTGAAGCCTGGAGTCCTGGAAAAAGCATGCGAAGAGTCCTTTAGTGAAGAGTCACAATGCAGTTCAGTGAACTGGGGTACATTTCTTAGGTACTTTTTAAATGGTTGTTCTGAAGCCCCACATTAATGCCACATAGACTAGAACAAAGTTCTCTCTCAAAGCATTATCTGACATTTTTATGTATTCCATGGGTCGAAAGGTTTCTTTCCCTTCCCCAGATCATGATTCTGCTGTAATGCCTTCATTTCCCCTTCTTCACAGACTTACCTGTAGTTTAAAACATTCAAAGTGTGGCTTGGGCACAGAATACCTCAACAGACTGTATTAAAAATGCCCTTTAAAAATTCCAAAGCTTTGAACTAAAAGAAATATCTCAAGAAGTTTTCATAGAAAGTTCATTGCAGTTGGTTCAGTTCAGCCACACTTAGATGCACCTTTTCAAATAATAGAGAAAAAAAAGTGTAAAGAGGTCAGGCCCAATCAATAGACTTGTTCAAACAGAATTCCAGTCACTGTGATGTATGTACATTTTGTGCTCTTCCTTTGTACTGATCACTATGAAGAAAGGTTACTTTAGCTAGTAGGCAGTAAAAGTCTTCCTCTTTTGAACACACCTCAGCGATAGCAAGGTTGATCGGGCAAAAATCACATCACAATATTTTTGTGCCTTCTCTGTGCTTCTGATAACTATGTAATTCACACACACACACACACACACACACACACACACGTCATTTGCAAATATTTTAAAAGAAGACCGACAGAAATCAAGGAGAGAGAAGCCTCAAAAAAGCATGCTTTCCTGAGCTCTGAAGCTGTGCTTCTTTCTCAAGCATGACAACATTAATTCACAGAGTTGGAGGAAGCCTTTTCTATTAGGTGTTGTTTATTGTGAAATGTAGTTCATCACCTTTTTAAAAAATCTTTATTGGCACAGAAAGCTGCACCAGCATAGGGGGTGACTTGTTTGCCATAAACAGCCTGATAATGATTAAAGTTGTAAATTAAAGAGTTCTCAGTCCCAAAGTGACTGTAAACAGTACAGGTAGTCTTGACTTACAGCCATAACTGGGACTTGAAACTTCTGTCACTAAGCAACATGGTTGTTAAGTGAGTTGCATCCGATTTTACAATGTTTTGGCTGCAGTGGTTAAGCGAATCACACAGTCATTAAGCAAATCACATGGTTAATGAATCCAGTTTCCCCCGTTCATTTTGTTTGTTGAAACACCCTGGGAAGGTTGCAATTGGTATAACAACACAACAACAACAATAATAAAATAGAGTTGGAAGGGACCTTGGAGGTCTTCTAGTCCAACCCCATGCTCAGGCAGGAAACCCTATACCATTTCAGACAAATGGTTGTACAGTCTCTTCTTAAAAACTTCCAGTGTTGGAGCATTCACAGCTTCTGGAGGCAGGTTGTTCCACTGATTGCTTCTGTCAGGAAATTTCTCCTTAGTTCTAGGTTGCTTTTCTCCTTGATTAATTTCCATCCATTGCTCCTTGTCCTGCCTTCAGGCGCTTTGGAGAATAGCTTGACTCCCTCTTCTTTGTGGCAACCTCTGAGATATTGGAACACTGCTATCATGTCGCCCCTCGTCCTTCTCTTCATTAAACTAGACATACCCAATTCCATCAACTGTTCTTTATATGTTTTAGCCATCTTTGTTGCTCTTCTCTGTACTCTAGATTTCTAGAGTCTCAACATATTTTTTACATCCTGGTGACTAAAAATGGATGCAGTATTCCAAGTGTGGCCTTACCAAGAAGTTATAAAATGGTATTAGCACTTCAGGTGATCTTAATTCTATCCCTCTGTTAATGCAGCCCAGGAAGTTATAAAATGGTATTAGCACTTCAGGTGATCTTGATTCTATCCCTCTGTTAATGCAGCCCAGGACTGCTTTGGCTTTTTTGGCAGCTGCAGCACACTGCTGGCTCATATTTAAGTGATTGTCCACTAGGACTCCAAGATCCCTCTCAGTTACTACTATTGAGCAAGATACCACCTATACTGTACCTGTGCATTTGGTTTTTTTTGCCCAATTGTAGAACCTTACTTTTTTCACTATTGGTGATCACATGACTCCCAGGATGATGCAACCATAACAACATGAGGGTTGCCAAGCATCCAAATTTTATCATGTGACTGTGGGGACACGGCAACGTGAGAACCGGTCCTAAGTCACTTTTTTCATAATTTTGAAAGGTCATTAAGCAAAACAAGGACTGCCTATATATATAAAATAACAGAATAACAGAGTTGGAAGAGACCTTTGAGGTCTTCTAGTCCAAACCCCTGGTATAGGCAGGAAAACCTATACCATAAATAAAATAAAAACAATGTAAAATATACCCTCATTGTTGCTTCTAAATGGGGATAAGCAGCAATACATTCACAGTGCTCCTTAATCTCAACCCAGGATATATTCAGATAAGAAAACACTATTGAATGTACCTGCAAATTGGGAAACTCAGACTGGGGAACATTTACTAGAAAAACTTTGCTGGAAAAGAGCAATTTAGCATTAATATTATCAATAAGAAAAATAGTTACAGCGCTGGGGTATGTTTCTGAATCCTGTGGAGCTTTTCCTAACTCAAGAGATAAATTGATGTTTGAAAGCCCTTACAAATTAAGCACAAGCTATTTCCAATCCATATTTACTGCATGGAGAAGTTTTAATATATACTGTAACATCACATTGCCATTAAGAAGCACAATGTCTGTAACACAGAGATAAGGAATCAGTGCTGCCACAAAGAAGAGGGAGTCAGGCTATTCTCCAAAACGCCTGAGGGCAGGACAAGAAGCAATGGATGGAAATTAATTAAGGAGAGAAGCAACCTAGAACTAAGAAGAAACTTCCTGACAGTTAGAACAATTAACCAATGGAACAACCTGCCTCCAGAAGCGGTGAATGCTCCAACACTGGAGGTTTTTAAGAAGAGACTGGACAGCCATCTATCTGAAATGGTATAGGGTTTCCTGCCTGCCTGAGCAGGGGCTTGGACTCGATGACCTCCAAGGTCCCTTCCAACATCATCATCATTATTGTTGTTGTTGTTATTATTATTATTATTAACTTGCTTGAGTTCTGTGCTATGGATACAAAAGATGTGGAGTCAAATCCTGTGGGATAAATGCAGAGAAAAACTGTGATGTAGTTCAATGTGGATCTGAGTACGAGGGACAATATTTTGACAGTAAAAAACGAATGCAACTCAACTGCAGTCAACATTTGAAGAACAAATGATAGAAGTCCAAAGGCAGATGAAATATAATGTTAATAGTTTAATATGTACATATATATTGTCTCCAAATTGTTACATTTCATTTAAATTAAAATTTTCTTGCAAAATATTTCAACATTTTAATAAAGAAAAAAAATAAAAATATCATTTTGACAAAAAGTTACATGCTTGACACTGGCAGTATTCAATTAAAATATATTGTATTTTCTAAATACATTTATCAAGAATAGTTTCCAAATATAGTCAAAATAGAAAACAAATTCAAAAAATATTTTTCAATCCAGTTACTGTTAGATAAAAGATACAGTCAGGTAGAAATTGTAGCTCTTAGCTTAATGAAGGAAAGGAAAACAAAAACAAGTGTTTCTCTTTTTGTAATTCTTTAGTTGCTAGAATAAATATGTCCAATTACATATTCTTGACCAACTTGAAGGAAAGAATTAGCAATGCAGTGTGAGATTTCAACAAACACAATTAATAAATATAAGCCTAAGGGAAAAGTTAACCTCATTCTTATGAATTTTTTGAGAGTCAATTTTGCTGTAGGAAAAATTATTTATGTTATCACTTGGGGTGGGTGGAGAATTTTGTCTAAACATAGAAAACAATCATTGACTTGTACAAATGTCAAAATGAGATAATGCTACTTCATTTTAACCTGGTTTAAATTAAATTAGTCTATTCTTTACATGGAGCTGTATGTGTTTCTCAAGGTATTTATTGAGTATTAGTATTTGAGTATTCTTGGATATTTGAATTTTCCATATCTGTTTTAATAATTCCATTCTAATCTGAAACAAATAATTGGGACTCACTTTTACAAGTAAATATATAAAAGGTATGGACTGTAATACAGAAAGTGTTTTATTCTTCTAGAAAGATTTCTTCATTGAACGGTAGCTGCAAGGCAACATCACAAAGAGATTTTTAAAGTACCTCAAACTCTCAAAATTAGTTTGCTATGTAGTGTGTGCCTGTTCAAAGAACAAACATCAAATGAAAGACAACATGTAGTTCTCTGCAAATCTTAGCTTAGCTAGCTTTTTTCCATATACAAACTCCTCTTATATTACATTCCTTCTACATAGATACAAGTTATCAAAACTTATAAGGTTGTATGGAAAATCATGAATACAGACTCTTGGCTACCTGTGAAATTCTGTTCTCCATACACAATGTATTTTTTAACAGTAAATTTTAGGATTTTTTCTTTAAATTTGTGCATTGTACTAAGCCATGCAGTAACCAGCTGAAAAACTACAAATTTCATCTTTTATGTAAAATATTCTGCAACTTTACTTGCACCTCTATAACAGCAATCAGTATGAATATCTCAATCATTTATGCTGAGATTTTCTAATAAAAATAATCTAAGGGCATGTATGTAGAGATAGTAATATTATAAGCCAGTTTTAAGGCAACAATTTCTATTATACATGGGCAAAACTACAGTGTAATTTTGTGGTGAATAGCTATATTTCTCTGCACCAATTCACTAATTTCAGTCCACATCCCATCACACAGACAGTGTTGGGCCACAGAACAATAATCCTTGTATGACCTATTGTGCAATCTTCACCAGGGTTGCTATGTATGGGTGAAATTAATTTTCATTCCAAAATTGACCCGATGTGTACTATTAATAGCAAGGAAATATTCCAGTATTTGGCAGCTGTTTCTGCTATCTCCCTCTGGGATCTTCCTTGTGCCAGAATTATTGCAATGGAGGAATGAAAGAGTCTAAAATTTCTTCATTTCCCTATAATCATCCTTGCAAACCTACTCTTTCCCTGCTGCTATTACTGCATGGATATAGCACCTCAGTTACCCCCATAAGAGTGAGATATATATGGAAGAAGGGATCAGGGTGTCACTGCCCTGACAGATCGGAAGAGTCTTCCAGAGGCCAATCTTGTCTCCAAACCAAATGTGAGCCTACCTTGGCTTAAATCCATATTTACTTTACTCTGGGTGATTAGGATTATTTTTAATGCAATTGGTATAAAAAGAGAGTGTTGTAATAGAAAGTTGCAATATACCGAACTCACTTCTGCAATAGTGTGAATAAGATACTGGACAGCTGTCAGCCCACATTTTTAATATAACACACAAGCCTACGAGTTAAAAAAAAAAACAATCCTTAGCTGCTTTTATTACTCCTTTTGCCCAAGACCCAAAAAGAGATATTATATTTTAGATTTTAATTGTCCTGGGCCAAGAACTAAATCAACATAGCAAATTATAAATAGGTGTCAATAAATCATTTTTTGCTGCTCTTGAAAATATAGATATTAAGAAAATAAATATTTGAATAAAATGTTATATTAATAATAGTATCAATTGTTTTAGATATTTTGTTTTAAAGTGGGTGATCTGACCCCACTGTGGATGCAGGACCTTTTGATGGAGCACTTCCTCATGGGATCGATAATGAACAGCTTCCTTCTGAATATGCAGAGAGATGTACCATCGCAAGTCTTTTTTATAAAAAAAAAATAGATTTTGTGTGTAATTTATGCCCTCTTTGTGACAAATGTGGTGAATGAATGCATATGTATCTCAGTGCTGGAGGACAAATTGCGCCATAAGAATTGCATTTACATTGGGATAGGGATTGGACTGAATCAGGTATATTTCATTGCCTAAACTCAAAGATGATATTTAAAAAATGGATTTCCTTTTACAACAGGTGGACAGTGTTGCTAGATTAGTGATGTCATGAAGGACAGAGGTCTATAATGATCCTCAATTATAATAGATTATATAATTTATTCAAATGGTGCCATCTTTTGCATATTTTATATCTGGTTTTCGTATTTGTATGACATCCAGAATTATTGAAATGTTGATTACTTCAATAAAATTGCACCTGATTGTGGTCACAAAGCCATTATCCTCTCTAAAATATATATATTAAAACTCACTATATCTATCTATCTAATGGGAAAACGATTTTCAAAATTTTCCTTTCTAAACACAAAAATCCAAAGAATATAATGATGCATCTTCATAGCATGCATCCAATCTTTAAACGTAGGCAGCACTTTTTCAACAACAAATCTAATACATACTTTGTTTCTAAAAATGTATTGTCATTTGATGTAGCACACCAAATCTTTAAAATCAATGAACATCAGCAAGACCTGCATATGCTTGAATTATGGCCATTGCACATATTTTATATCGGTGTTTTTCAATCTTGGCAACTATACAATGGGTGAACTTCAACGACCAGAATTCCCCCACCAGCAGGTTACCAAGGTTGAGAAACACTTTTTTATCTAGTATGTTAAAAGTGCTGTTAATTTATCTGGTTTCTTTTCTGATACAAAGCTGTTTTCTCTTTTGTTGTACAAATGTTCTCTGTACTTATTTATAAAAGGTGTTCAAATACGAGTAATTATGAGAGAAGGCTAGCCTGGGGGGGGGGTGTCTCTTCCTTCTTTCTGGTTGCGTTTGTTCTTTATGCGATTGTTACTGGCACATTCCAGGAATCACTGTTCAGTTACTGCTTTGGCTAGCATAAAGAAGAACACAGTGCAATTAGATATCAATGAAACAACTTTACTCAAAAACATAAATTTCCAAATAGCTGTTAACAGCTAGTAGTGCATATAATTTTAGACTGGGAATAGGAACAGCTTATGATGGGGTAAGTAGAGTAGATCAACATATCTCTCAGTGGTAAAGCATATTGCATTCCATCTTCAGCTTTTTTACATACCTGGTACATTACAGAGGCTTCCCAAAAAACCAAGAAACAATAAAATATTGTTTTGTTAACTAGTCTTAATCAAAAAAGAAATCTCCCAAGCATGTGCTGTTCACTCAATTCTACCACAGCACTATATTGAATAAAATTCAATATGCAATAACATAATTCTTAATAGAATAGAATTCTTTATTGGCCAAGTGTGGTTGGACACACAAGAAATTTGTCTCCGGTGCATAAGCTCTCAGTGTACATACAAGTAATAGTGACAATCATGATCATATACAACATGAAAATACATTCATTATAATTCAATATGTATCTGATATTGAATATGATTCAATATGTATCTGATATTCTAATGTGAAACACATAGCCTCAGAAAAGACCTAGAAAAGAAAATAATCATAATTTTCTTTTCAAAAAAATGGTAATATATTTTAAACAAAGAGTAACTCTATGAAACTATATACAAATTTGATTTATTGCCAGGGCAAGCTGCCAAAAATATGACAGGATTTGTTTCTATGATAATGATTGCCATAACTATTCTTCAATTTATGACTTAGTATCAGGAAATAAAGGCTCTTTTATTTCTGCTACCAATAATAATATGTATTTTATTATGTAACATTTATTTTACATATTTAATATTTATTCAGATGTTATTTAATACTTTAGTTTAGGATTTTCCAGTTTCCATGAGACATGGATTGTGGCAATTCCCATTTTCATGGTGTAATCTTCAATATGTGGTGCTGCTATTACAAAACCACCTAGACACGTTTCACCTTAAAATTACATCACAGTGATAAGGAAGTCAAAACAACTTGCAGTCTCATAGCAGTTCTGGACAATTTCTGCAAATACCTTGTGAGAATTTTTACTTTTCTTAACTGTAGGAGCAAAGAATCTTTAGATCACTAAAGTTTGCATGCAGTTATTACATTTACAGAGAGCTCCAACACCGGCAAAGCATATCATTAATGGCAAATATAGGCAGCAAGAGCAGTTAGTTCTTACTTTCAAGGTGTTTAGACAAATGTGTAGTGAAATCCATTGCTTAAGGGGAGTGGTTGAGGTACAGAAGGTGAGGGTGCTTTAGTTGGGTAAATCAATTGCGGAGCTAGAAGGGATCATACAAAGGAATTAGGCACCACAATTGTTCTTTGTGTTGTTTTTCCTCTTTCACACACACAGATATACACAACTTAATGGACTAAAATATAAGATAACAGGGCCAGACATTAGTATGAATTGTAATACTTTTTGCAAATCAACATGTACTGTCTGTGTCAAGAAATTTTAGTCCTACAATATGAAAAATCACCGAGTCATCTTTATTTTATTTGTTGTGCCTTCCTCAAAAAGGAAGAAAGAACTGTACTCTCGGATCCATGGGAGTGTGGTTGAAATGCCATCAAGCACATTAAAAAACCATGTAAACCGAGATTCTGTCAAAACATATTGTGAGATTGCAGAGCTTCTTGAGAATCTGTGCACTGTGGTGATCAGCCATACAAGTTTGCTGAGTGATTTTGAGCCAGTAATCGTCTCTTGGCCTGGTTTACTTCAAGAGTTATTGTAGAGAAAAATGACAGAAGTGAGTGATCTTGAGCTTTGAAGGAAAGGTGGGATGTAAATCTAATAAATAAACAAATTTATTTGTTCACTTTCACTAAGCCATTTTGTTCCACTTAGATTTCTTGCTTGACTTTCTACTTATTTGAATAAAAAATTATATCATGTAGAAATAATTCTAGCAAAAATGTCTTTCTCTAAGATAAATGTGGAACCTGTTTTTCTTAGAAATGAACTAGAATCTGCCATGGATATTAACTTGAAGTGCTGACTTACTTTTTGAGAAGGCTTTTACTATAACCAATTTGTAATATAATATTTTTTAAAAAATCAAAGGAATCAAAGATTATTTACTGACATCACAAAATAAATGTAGATATGATTTTGTGCTGCAGTTCACAACAGTTCACAATTGAAAATAATTGCAGTTCACAATTGAAAATAAAATTGAAATCAATTAATAAAATAGAAAATTAACTCGACAGGCACTAGATAATACTGGCCCTGCTATATACAATGAAAATATCATGCTATATTAGTAACACATTGAAAGATTAAAGTATGAAGGAAGCACAATTTAGCAAGAACAATTTCATCTGCTATTTCTGTATATGCTGTTAGTTTCCAAGAAGATAAAAAACTTTAGCTGAAACTCATCAAGCTTTAGGAGGATTAAGTGACTACATTTTTAAAAATAATTTGCCAAGTCCAATTCCAAATCCTGGAATAGTGCAATCAATCAATCAAATTTCACTGTTTTGTTTTTATGAATTTTACAGCATTTTGATGGAAAAGCCTGAACATGTGGACAGAAAAAAGATAAGGTGTTATACAAAGATAAAACAAAGGTCCCAGTGCAAAAAAACCCTAAAGTAACAATAATCCAATGCCATGTTGATTCTTTTGGAAACGGCTTCACCAAAGGCATAGGTTAGTAAAGGGCTTCTTCACTTAGCTAAGGATTGCCTTCAATATGAAGATAATCCTCTAGTACAGGGGTGTCAAACTGGCGGCCTGTGGGCTGGATGTGCCACGCTCAGGCCATGCCCACCCCAGCTCCGCAAGGGCAAAAAGACGTCACGATATATCCTGATATGTCACATGATGTGGTCAAGTTTGACACCCGTGCTCTAGCACAACAGTTCACAGAGCACTAAGAGCACATTGTTGACTAATTTTCCATCTTCAAACTTCTACCAAGTACTTTGTTTAAACTGGAATCTCAACTATATTGATGACTGCAAATCTTTCTAAACTTTGGGCATGAAAAATGTCCTTTTAATCTTAATGTGTGATGTAGCAATCTATAAATTGCATTAGCAGATGAAGACTTGCTGTAGAGAAAATTTTGTGCTGCCTATCTTTCCTACTCAAGTAGGAAGAAACTACACGCAGCACTAAATACTGATTAATGCCAATTAATACAATGCATGGTTCAAATCCAGGGGTTCAGCTCCGTGACAAAAACTATCCAATTAGGATATCTAAAAATAACATAAAAAGTTATGGTCTTAATGCCCTGATATGTACAGTAGCCTAGAAGAAAGATATAAATGCACATTATGTAGCAGTGTAACTAAAACAATGCACTGTCACAGCCACTGCTTTATAAATAGAGCACTACCTGCTACCTCTTTGCTCCGCTGAGAGGCTTCAGAAGCCAGTGCATATGATATGGTAATGATGCGTTCTTGCTCATGTAGTTGTGAATCTAAATTTGAAGAGCTGTATTTGTCCTGAACTGGAGGCTGTAGGTTGTGCACACTAGGGTAAACATAAAAGGAAAAGAAAAGAAATAAAAAAGTGCTGTACTTGGGCACATGCTGTGGTCTCAGTCCCGGCCACTTTCCAATATATGCTCAACATGGAAATAAAAAGACTTCAAGATTATCCTGAAATTATGAATCTGGGGAGTATAGTATACTAACTTTTTACGCTGTATTTATAATATGCAAAGTATTAAAAATACAGAGAAGCAAATAGAAAAATAACAAAATCAACAAATGTGAGTCAGTTTAGCCTAGTAATTAAGTTGCCGGCCTAAAAACCAGGAGACTGGGAATTGTAGTCCTGCCTTAGAAATGAAAGCCAGCTGGGTGACTTTCAGCCAGTAATTCTCTCTTAGCCCAACCTACTTCACAGGGTTGCTGTTGGGGGATAAATAAGAGGAAGAAGGAAGGAGTATTATACATGTTCACCATCTGGAGTTACTTATAAAGTAATAAAGGCAGGATAAAAAAATTACATGGATAAATAAACAAAATGTGCAAGCAAGCTAAATACATACAATCAGCAGCAAAAAAAAATTACCAAAAAGTTTAAATACAGAGGAGCTTAAAACAAATTTTAAATGCCTTAAAAAGTAGAATGGCTCTTGAAGGGCCTTGCTGGGATGTCAAAGCTGCTAACGTCGGATGTTCTTGCTTTGACCACAGATGGAAATGTAACCATCTTTTCTCTTTCGCTTTTAGAGTTAGATGATGCTGGGAGGGGAGATGTGGATGAGAGTCCAGTTAGTCATAACAACAATAACTCAGCCGTGGCAATCAAGGTGATTGTGCCCAGAGCTGATAAAGATTTGGCCTGGCTGGAGAGCTGCTAATTGGGGAATGTGATTTATGACTGTTAATTGGAGGAGGGAATTGTGCTTTGTACTTTGTGCCCAGGGGAGGGGAATTCAGTTTTTGGCTTTAACTATCTAGTGCTGATACTTTGTTTTCTCACATAAAAGATTCTTTAAGATAAACAATGCCTCAAAGTTCTTTTAAAGAGTTTCGTCTGTCAGGACCATGACAGTCTGCCTGGGTAATTCACAACCAAATGCTCTCTTTGGCAGAGATTTGCAGATGGAGCATCCTTAAGAAGCAGTTGTCATTTGGATTAGAGCCAGTAAAGGATTTCTGGATGAAACGTCCTTCTACAAAAGGTAGACAGAGACCCAGGATTTTACAGGTCTATGTTTATAACATACAGAAACAAGCAAGATTTATTGTTCCAGTAGCCTCTTCCTACAAGATGGACGAAATTAATAAAGTTGATTATATGTACATAACATGGCTTTTCATGTTTCCTGATGTTATAAATAAAGAGGAATTATGCACAAAGCAGTACCTTGATCTGGTAAGAATATGCCTAATTTTTTCTGCCTTACGATGTCTTGCTTCCAATTCTTCAGGAGTGAGGGGGTCTTCAGGATCTATCTCAATGTACCGTTCTGGAATTGCAACCTTGTCTGGCTTTGACAACTGGGGGGAGGTTTTTTTAAAAAATAGTAATTGTAAATATTTATTGTACTGCATTTAGAACATTACAACATTTGTACATTCAAATACACAAGAGGGAAAAAAGAAGGGTGAAATAGATGTTTCAATATTTCTGTACATTCATTGCAAGTTTCCTGTGAAACATGTTGTATAATAGTGCTTGTCAACCAAAAGAATGGTTTTTGGAAAAATAGGTGTTCCTTCTCTCCACTCATATGTCATATCTGCTCTAGAAGTGTGGAAAACTCTTGTACGTAGATATGTGGTATATGTGTGGAAATACAGGTATAGGATACCTGCCCAGCATCATAATTAGTATACAATATTGTTTGTTTAGAATAATTTTTATTAAAATATGAAGTATTGGTATTAAGTATAGGGTTATAGCAAGAATCCATTAAAAGAATGCATACTTACATAAATACAGTACATACATACATACATATATATATATATATATATATATATATACACACACACACACACACACACACACATACGCACACACGCACACACATATACATACGTACACATATACACACATATTATACATAAATATATATATGTATATGTAAAATGAAGACATCAGAGAAATCTGAATCTATCTATCTATCTATCTATCTATCTATCTATCTAAATTGAGATTTCTCTGATGTCTTCATTTTATCACAGGGCATTTTTTAAAAGGAATATACAAACAATACTAATGAGAAAAATCTCAGGGAAATGGTTAAGTATAGTTGCTATATAATGAGACTTTCAGAATTCAACCTAAGCAATCTCTCTCTTGTTATCAAGATACTTTTCAGATTACTTTTTAATCTTCAGGAATTAGACCTCAGGTATAGATAACAATTCCAAACAATTCCAATCTAGAATTAACAAAATCATTTTTATTTTATTTGTTAGTTTTCCTTAATCTGACCATTTACTGAGCAAGGTATTGTTTTTGATTTAACTGTTCTTTAATCTTTCAGTGAAATAAAATATTCTTCTTTTGAGCCACAAGATGGCTCTGTAGGTTTCTAAATATGTTGTTAATCTCAAAATCTGATGATATTCTACCTGTGATGATATCCTTTTTTCAATTTCTAAGATTCTCAGCATTATGCAAAATGCAGCATAAAACAAACATGGAACAAGAAATAGCAATCAAAATAATCAGAATTCAATCTTAAACCTGAATGACTCCTAAAAAATTATGTGATGGTATTATCTCATAACATTTAAAAGCCTTCAGAAAAGCTCCATAGTAAAATACTGAAGAAACATTCTTAAGTCCCCTGATTTCAAGGGAGTAAGAAAATTAAAAGCAACTTTTGCTGAATATTCTAATCAGACAGGCTGATTCTGGTTGGAGGGCACCATTTTTGAATGTACCACGGAATGAAGTCATGTGCAGCTGTATAGTATTTTAAATTATACCCAGAAGCCTACTGGCAACTAGTGCAGGGTCTCAAGTATGTGTATAATATGCTGTTAGCATTTAAGGCTAATTAGGTAGGCCCTTGCATTTTATACCATGTGCAGTTTTTGAGTGGTGTTTAAAGTTAGCTTCCTAAAGAGCAATGATAGCTAATCCATCTGGGAAACAAAAAGAGCAAAAATCGAGACATCCTCCTCCTCCTTGTAAAACCACAACACGTGAACTAGTTGGGCAAAGTTGCTCCTGGCAATAGCCTCCACCTTACCCATGTTGCAGTAGCCATGAATCTAAAAAGGATCCCTCAGGCGTGATGCTACTCCTTTGACAGAGAACACTGCAAAGAATCTTGATGAATATAGAGTAACTCAATTTTTATTGGGATCTACTTCGGCCTGTTTCTTCCCATTCCTGGAGAAAACAATGCAACCTTTTCTAACACTATTCTGTAGAAGATGTGACTAATAGCATCTTTGTGTTTGTTTGTTTTTAATTTATTCGCTCTATTTTATCAGTCCTTTAATACTGTATTGTTGGTGTTCACAGCAGATGAAAAGAGAATCAGAGTGATGCAAGCCATATCATGATGTCCAACATAATTTTTGCCTGTCAAAGTGACAGGAAAAGGGGTTGAGCTTGTGGGGTGATGCTGCATATGTCATTCTGATGAGAGCTGAGAGATCCTTATAACTCTACAAAATGAGTGGGCTAATTCTCTCTAGTACTGTGCATTTTTCCTTGGCAGATTCAAATGTTTTAGTCACTTTCCTAACATGGCTTTCTTGCTACTAGACACATGTCAAAAAGAAAGGGCCCTGTACATACCTCACAAAAAAATCCTACTTTGCTTAAATTAAAATCTTTCTGAAAACTGTTGATTAACATTAAAGAAAATAAATGGAAGGAATATAGTATGCCAAGTTTGGAAAACAGTGAATTTATTTATTTGTTTGTTTGTATTTCATATATCTAACCCCTGCCCAACCCCTGCCCGTCTCCCTCAAAGAGTACAAGAATATAAGGCAATAGTAACAACTAGCCTTACCTCTTTGCTAATATCCAAGTTATAATCTTCGTGCTCTAGATCTGTCTCTGTTACCGCCACAGGGTCGATTTTTAACCAGTTATCTCCCATTTTTTGTTCTGTACATATTGCTCTTTCCAGTAACTGCAAGTCAAATTCTTGCTCCCGCTTCCACTAGTAACAGACAGGAAACAATGACATATTTGACTATAATGAGTAATAAATTAGCAAATGTTTATCATTATCTCAACCTCTGAATAGCTAAAATGGAAACCAAGGGCTACCATAGCATTTATTTCTGGATTCTCACTTGATGGCTACCCTGATGTAGTCTGCAACCTTTCCAACCAGCAGAGATTAATCTAATGTCAGATCAAAGCTGATAGCAGATTATAGTTAGATTCTGATTTTACATGTTAGGAGTCAGAGATAATTAGATTTATCTATAATCTATTGGGCCAGGGGAAAAATGTATTCCTTGGGAAAAGCTCTTCCCAAAAGTTATACTGTGTTTTTCCGAAAGTAAGACTTACCCTGAAAATAAGTCCTAGCTTGATTTTTTGGGTGGGCCTAATATAAGCCCTACCCCTAAAATAAGTCCTAGTTTTGGGGCAAAGTGCACCCCTAAAATTCAAGCTAGGGTGGGGGTGGGAACTTACCATTACTGCCAGGCCTCCCATGGACCAACACTTGCCTTGCCGGAAGGAGCAGCTTCATTCTGCAGCTGAGAATGGAGCTTGGCCTGCATTTCACAGCCAGAGGCCTTTCCGGAAGGCCTGTATAGCTGAGAACCAAACTATGGATTGAATCCATGGATTGGTTCTCGGCTGCAGAGAGCTTCCAGAAACGCCTCTGACTGAGAAATGCAGGCCGAGCTCCATCCTCAGCTGCATAATGAAGCTGCTCCTTAGGCTGCAGAAGAAGTGGGCCAGCTGGGTGGGGCTGTCAGTCCCGCTTGCTGTGAGATGAGTGGAAAAGATACCCCCCCAAAAAGAATTTTTTGGAGCCCCCCCCCAAAAGACCGGGTCTTATTTTGGGGGAAACATAGTATACAAGGGAAATGCAGTAGGCCTTTGCCTATGAGAGACACACAACCTACAGTTAGATCAGATGCAGCCCCAAGATCTCCCAAAGTTATTATCATGTAATTCTTTAAGTGAATGAAACAGAAAATATTTAACTGTAGTTAAGCAAACAAATGAATTTTTGACACTTCCAAGTGGAGAAAACTGCAAGAGCAAGAGCACTTAGAATTATACCGCTCCATAGTGCTTTATAGCCCTCTCTGAGCAGTTACAGAGTTAGCAAATTGCCCCCAACAATCCAGGTCCTCACTTTACCGGCCTCGAAAGGATGGAAGGCTAAATCAACCTCGAGCTCATCAGGATTGAACTCCAGGCTGTGGCCAGAGTTGGACTGCAATAGCGCATTCTAACCACTGTGTCATCTGGGCTCTTTAGCTGGCAAACTAATATATATCTGAACAGCAGAGATACTGCTAAGACAGAGATTGGCAGCCAGGTGGTCTGCCTGAGCCAGTAGAGCTTTTTTGGACAAGTAAAAGCCTTGAGGATCACCCACTTGTGCTTCTGAAAGCAGTCCCTTGCAAGGAAACCTGCAAGAACTGGAAGAAACTTGTGGGAAACTCGCAGTAGAGCATCAGAAGCAGAGGAAGAAATAACAAGGGGACAGTCTCATGCAGAATCTACTTTAAAGACACTGGGTTTGCTTAAAATTCCACTTACTGTTTGGATTACATAAAAAATTAAAAGTTACAAGGTCTTCGAGCAGCAGAGGAACTAAACTACCTAGAGAGTGTTCCTTTTGCCTGGGACATAAGGTGACCAACTTTTTTACAATGAAAAGGAGGACAAAAATAAATTGAAGAAAAAAATATCGTAAAAGCTGGCCCGGCCCATGGAAGGTCAAACGCCCGCTGCGCCCCTGCCTGCAGCCGCCCCGCCATGTAGAGCGGGCCCCGCAGCTCCCAAAGCACCAGCCGTGCGACTCCAGCCCCGGGGGGGGGGCAGCCCGCTGTCGACACACCCTGCCTGCAGCCGCCCTGCCAGCACCACCGTCCACCCTGCACAGCCCTGTGTAGAGAGAGTCCCATGGCTCCTACAGCACAGGGGGGGCAGCCAGCCGCTGCCGCCCCTCACACCCCCGCCCGCAGCACCCCTGCCGCCCCTGCCTCTTGCACCCGCACCCATTATTGCCCTAGCAGAGCCGAAGATCAAGAGAAACTTACCGCTCCAGTCTCCTCCAGATATCTTTGGAACTAACTAGGACAGCGATGGCGAACCTTTTAGAGACCGAGTGCCCAAAAACTGCCCCCCGCTCCACCTCCCTGCTCCGCCCCTTCTCTGCCCCCCATCCCCCACCCCACCTGCTCACAGGACCACTCACTGCCTCCAGGGCCCGCCACAGATCGCCCAGGCAGCCCAGCAGCGCTATGGTGGCCACCCCCTCTGCCCGCACCCTGCAGCATCAACTGCATGAGGGGTGTGAGGGCAGAGTCTTGTCTACACTGCCTGGCTGCCATGTCCTTGGCTGCGCTGCTTCATGTGCGCCATGCTCGAGGGCGACTCTCTTTCAGGGGGGCTGCTGAGAGGAGGGGGTCACTGGTGGAGGCAAGTCTGGGACAACAGAACGTGTGCCCACAGAGAGGGCTCCGAGTGCCACCTCTGGCACCCGTGCAATAGGTTCGCCACCACTGAACTAGGAGATGGTGTAGTTGGGTAGCAGGGAGGGGTGCAAAGTTCCTGCCAATTCGCCTTCGCTGCAGACAACTTGCACGTGCAAAGTTTGCCGGCTAGGTGTTTTGGCGGGCTCAGCAGCAATTCCTATTGGCTTTCGAAAGCCAATAGGGGAGAGTAGCACAGCTCATGCAAAAGTTGAAAAAAAAAACCATCAAAAAAAGATGCCGGAACGCCGTTCTGAGTGTTCTTTGAGAAAAAAAAGCCCTGCAGATTAGTCTTCAAATATCAAAAAGGACATGTAGGAGGCCACTTTTCGAGGGAGGACAGACCTTACAAAAGGAGGACTGTCCTCCCTAAAGGAGGACTGTCCTCCCTAAAGGAGGACGGTTGGTCAATTTACTGGGACAAGATTAAAATAAAATGTGGAAAAGCAATTATAAGGATTTAAAAACAATTAAAAGCAAAAAGCTTGCTAAGAGTTTGAACTACAGAAGTTTAAAACAGATTAAGGGGACATCTGAATTTAACAGATTTAAAGCACTTTTGAATTAATTAATGCCTCCATTCCAACAAGGACTATTTAAATTTCATAAGAGGGATAATTAGTTAGTCTTACTAAACAAAGAGAATGAGGGAAAGTTGTGAAAGGTCATGTGACCATAAAACTAAGATGTGCTGAATGGGACTAAGGAGTTAAGGAAACAGGGAAAAAAAAAACCTCTCTTAACTTTTAAGGTTTTTTTATGGAACATATATATCAGTGATGGCGAATGTGACTGAATGCCCAAAAACTGGCCCCACCCCCGCTCCACCTCCCTGCTCTGCCCCTGCTCTGTCCCCTATCCCCCGCCCCGCCCACCCACAGGATCCCTCACCATCTCCAGGGCCCGCCGCAAATTGCCCAGGCAGCCCAGCAGTGCTATGGCGGCCACACCCTCTGCCCGCATCCTGCAGCATCAACTGCATGATGGGGTGTGAGGGCAGAGTCTTGTCTACACTGCCTGGTTGCCATGTCCTTGGCTGCGCTGCTCCATGTGGGCCATGCTCGAGGGCGACTCTCTTTCAGGGGGGCTACTGGAGAGGAGGGGGTCGTGGGGGGGGGAGGCAAGGCTGGGGCAATGGCACATGTGCCCACAGAGAGGGCTCTAAGTGCCGCCTCTGGCACCTGTGCCATAGGTTTGCCACCACTGATATATATCATGGGGGGGGGTTGTCCTTGACCTGTTCACAATTTTTTTAGAGGGAACTTAAGGAAATTGGGAGAAGAAAATTGAAGCTTCCTATACTTACTCTAAGAACAAAATAGCCTATCTATATTACTGAAAATTGTGAAACAAGCCAAAAAGAGATAAAGAAATGCTGTGGAATGCCCTTTTAAGAATTTGTTTTAAGTTGGCATAAATGTTTATCATACCAAATACAAGTACATAGAAAGCACTGAAATACTACACCTGCTTCTAAAGGTGGATTGGTTTGTTCACATAACAATGTCTTACCAATCACAGTAAAAGCAATCTTACCTTTGTGTCAGTCTCGGCTAGATGTTATTTTTACATGACTGCAGTAAAAGATGATAGCAGACAAGCAAAATCACATCATTAAAAAAGAGATCTTTGAAACAAACAGAGAACTTTAAAAAAATACATAAAATAATAAAAAGAGAGAATGTCATCCTGAGAATTAATAAGTTGTGGTCAAAAGGGAAAAAAAACATGATCTGGTTCCCTATGATAGAAGGGAATGAATCAAGAGTTTCCAAACAACAAAATTAGACTCAACTTCCTCTGGGCAACAAAACAAATTTAGCTGAAACTAAGTCCTAATGAAATTGGAATTGAAAAGTTTCCAGTTAAAATTAGGAAATAAGCATTTTCTTTCAAAGACTCATTTAAAAAGAACTAATTAAATATCTGCTGGTTGTAGAAAGCCTGTTAAGTCCTGCAAGCCAATCAACTCGGAACTGTTGTTATTCTATTAAACGACTTACAAAAATTATGAAGCTCATCAACATTTCAAATCAATATTTTGGATTGTACTTTTACTTCAGATATGATGCGGTTTAGAAAACTATCTACTAAAATCAAATAATATAGACCACCATCTTTTATGTTTCTTACTATTTACAAGCACTCCAGGCTAACCTAGAAATATTTTTTAGTATTTTCAAGAGAGATAGAATTTTAGTATAATGTAAACTTGCTTTCAGAGTCACTGAATACTTTCAAATATGATAGAAATAATGTTCAGAATTACCATAAATATATATACATTAAATCAGTGGTGGCATTCAAATATGTGAACAACTGGTTTTCTGTGTAGATGCTGCTTCTGGAAGTCTATTCTGGGCCTGGGCAACAAAAAAATAGCTATCGGTTCTGCCAAACTGGTGCGAATCGGCTGAATCCCACCACTGCATTAAATGTATTAATTACTTCCACTTTTTTTTTTTATCAAAATAGCCTTTCAGGTGTCCTA